TTGGGTAAACCTGCAGTCAGCTGAGACTGAAGAAGTCACTTGGATGAGTGATGAAACGTTTCTCCCACTGACTCCAAAACAGAATGGAGCACATCCTGGTAAATAAACATCACTTTGATTGGGCCGCCAATCAAAAGAGACCAAGACAGTTTATAATTTAAATAGGAAACATCAATAATAATAATAAAAAAATAAGTTTACCAAACAAGTTTAGATCTCACACTTGGGAATCCTGTTTTATTTTTTTATTTCTAAAAGGGAAAACATGGCAAATGATGTTGGTGACAGAGCTGAGTAGTGCTCATAGTGAAAATCTATGATGTAAAGGCTCATTTAAACGTTTTCTTTCAGATATTGAAAGGACAAGTATAAGAAAGTCCTAACTTTACAGTTTAAGTGTGCATGCGTCATCTCTTTTCTTTACCAACACAAACGCGGCCACCAGCACAGACAAGCTGAGCTTGAGATTTAAGAGTTTCTTGCTTTGATTTCAGCTGCACTGGTGAAATCTTTGTGTCGTAACGATGAGGGTTAGAGGTTTTTAGCAGATAAATGAAACTGTTGGTGCTAGATAAGCACGCAGTTTTCATTCACATTCCTCTCCATCACTCTGACAGCTAAAGTGGTGTTTGAAATGATCTCATGTGCAAGACAGCTGGTACTTATCGCACAGCTTTGTAAGGAACCCCGAAAGAAGTCCAACAAGTTAAAAATGAGAAAGGTTGCTTGGCATAAACACTAATCTCACACCCCACAGTGTGGATGGCAAACTGCTGGGTGGAGCAGCTTCTAAACAGAAATCGAGTTGGGCTCAGGAGGTAGAGCAGAAGGTTGGTGGTTCAATCCCCATTTTTTTTTTTTTTAAAGCATCTCACAATCTGTTAAAAGATGCTTTTGGCCTTTATTTTCATGCTACAAATCTGTAGTTTGAGTAGTAGCAGTAGTGCTATAATCAAACTGTCACAAGAGGCTTTACAAGAGAGGGTTCACATCAATGCTGGCATCTTTTTCACTTCTGCTGCAGCCCTGTTTTCATTTATTACTGATGAGACAATGAAACTGGACCCTCACATGGTGAAATGCTGAGCATCGCCTGAGTCACGATGCCGTCAGAGAGTTGTAATTTAGATTAAGGAGACGTCTGCTGCAGCTCACATGTCACACCTCCTCTGAGATCCTGTTTTTTAAAAGCTCATGTTTGATAAAAAAAGAAGATAAAAGTAAATGTTTCCAGTCCTGATGAGTTCCTGCTGACTGAGATGATGTCCAACAGTTTCTGACAATTGAATGATCTGACAGCTGACCAAGCCACCGCCTCGCTGTCCTGCTTTGTCTTCCAGGAAAACATGGGGACAAACGAACACAAACACGTCATTCCTTTGACTCAGCGTACAAATATTCATCCTTCCCTGAACATTGACATAAACAACTTTATTCCTATTCCCGCACATTAGAGCTCCTTTTGCATTCTTGGCATCTTCAGGTGGGTGGATTTTTTTTATGTGGGTTCAGCCTAACAAATGGTCTTAGGACATATTTATCTGATGGAAGGCTCTGATGATGGTCTTGATCCACTAACTTTTGTCAGCAAACCAGTTCCACTCAAACAGCACTGGCTTCTCTGAACTGTTAATACTGAATAATGAAGGAACTGGAGTCTCGGTGTGGAGCAGCCTCAGAGTGATGATCTTTGGTGCTTTGTGGTTTGACTGTGTTGAGTTCAGTGGTGTGTTTTGGAGCTACTGGTGAGGATTTAGTGTCTTCTGTTAGTGTTTTGACCTTTTTTTCTCTTTCAGCAGGACTTTTGTTACTCCTCTCACTTCTTAGTCCTTTATTTGTGGACATAAAGGTGTGTGTGTGTGCATATGTGTGTTTGGTGTATACAGGGCTGTCATCTGTCACTAAAGACCACCTGCTGCTAGTTCAGCTGGAGATGATAGCTTCCCAGCCCGATTGGCTGTGTGTTTCTACACCATTTGGTATTTGGAGAAAATTCAGCTGAAACAGCTGCTCTGAATGTTGTTTTCTTGAAGAAGAGATGAGAAAAGAAAATTTAACAATGTATTTTATACTCCGCTCTCCACGTTAAATCTTCTTACAGCCCCATAAGCTTATTTTGTGAACATCTGAAAGGGGTCCAACCAAACGATGAGACCACATGACTTAAACCCAAAAGTGTATATAGTAGTTAAAACCACCTTTAACAGAAGCTTCTCCTGAACATCCTTAAATAAGGATATGAAAGCTTTTTCTACCACCCTGGAGCCACACTTGTAACTGAGATTTATTGAGTTTGGGGCTGTTAGGTAGTTGTTGACAATATTCAACGGGGTTCAGGTCAGGCATGCCGGCTGGCCAATCAGAGGCAGTAATACCAGATCAGATCTGATTGGTAGTAGTTTAAGCCGTGCAGGCAAGTGCTATGCTCCTAACTAGAAAGGGAAATCTGCATGTCCATAAAGCCTGTCAGCAAATGGAAACATGAAGTGCTGTAAAACCCTAATGGTAAACGTCATGTTGACTACAGACTTGTTAAAACATCGGCAGCAGATGGCACCTGAAATCATCAGAGTGCAGAAACTTCATACTGGATCTAAAGCTACTGGCAACACAGAGATGTTTGCTGAAGGTAAGGAACATCCATGGTTCATTTATCGCCAGATATTTATTAGTTTCTCTTAAAATGTAGTCTGTGTTAAATCCCTAAACAGCAGAGCCTTTTCACAATTGTCAGTTTGTTAGATGTACTGCTGCTCAATAAATTTTAGGCACTTCTAAATAAAGATATTTGATTGTTATATTATATTATGTATTTGTAATTCTTTTCCTTTGTTTTTTTGGGGGGATGCATGTTGATTGACCAATAAACTAAGCTTTCAGATTATGCATCTGTTCAGGAAAAGTTATCAATATTGTAAAACATGTTCAAAAAGTCATTCTTTAACTTCATTTCCTGCAGGAATAACAAAGATCAAAAGCCTCCTGCCGGTCTCTACCCACAGCACCTCATTGAGTACTAAAGATAAAAACCCTGTATGCAGGAAAATGATATAATAAACAGCTTTATTTTTCCTTGTTTCTTTAGATGAGGGAGCGTGATGTACATATTTGACATATTTCAGTAAATGACTGTATGGTGATTTGTTTACTTACAGATTATATAAAAAGCACACTGTCCATTTATTTATGTTTACATTAGTTACACAGGAAGCTGTAATAGCAGCAGCAGTCCAGCAAAGGCAACACATGACTTGAACTCTGCAGCACTCTAACCAATCGTGATACAAATCAAACTTCCTGATTTGAACATCAGGTTAGATAGCTGGAGAGGAAGACGGCGCTGACCTGGAGTCGGCAGCTGTGTCGGCAGCCTCTGGTCTAGGATCGGCTTTGCCGTCAGCCCTTTAATTAACAATGAACCTGAGGCAGCATGGTCAGAAGGATGGAGACCAAGCTGACCCTAAAGCAGATCATCCAGCACACTGACTCCAGGTCAGGAAAAGCACTAAGCAGAGATACATTCACAGGTTTCCAACCTCCCCACCCCTCCCAGCAGTGGTCAGACCCTTTAGTGGGTGCATGCAGGCAAGTCTTTCCATTGGTTCAGTAGATTCATACATGCTAAAAAAAAAAAAAAGAGTTCCATCCTCTCAGAACCTCTAGCCCCTAACCTACATCTGCTTCAGTCAGCTTAACTACAAGGGTTGTACAGGTTGTCTCAGCTCTCTCCAGCCACGAGGAGAAGTGGTGGACAAGACAGCAAACTGTCTTGAAATTGAACAGGCCAGTGTGGTTTTTCTAGGATGTGTTTTGTCCACTGGCGCACTTAATGCACAATCAAGTACTTCACGTTGTAAATCCATGCAGGGTATCAGAGATAATTGGCGCGAGATGGTAGGTAGAGAGCTGGGATCCCGGGAGTGCGTTTGGACAGAGCAGAGGTCGCCTCCACTGCTCACTTAGCTTAGTTAGGGCTTTCAAAGTGGTTTCCATTTGTCGGCGTCTCCTGCAGAGTCGTGTGTGGGATGTCTGCCTCTTTACGGGACTCCATTTGTGGCTTGAAAAAGTCTGACACGAAGAAGACCTGTAATAGACCAAAAATAAATGAATAAAATAATTAAAAATAAGTGCTACTGAGGTTTGAACAGTTACATCTACACACAGTGTTTGAGTACTTACCTTGACTGCCAGAAGGGGGTGATGTATAAAAACCCCTGCGGGCTGAACTTAAAGATCAGTGCAGGACTTACCACGAGCAGAGCCATGAGCGCGCCCTGTATGAGTCCGGTGAGAACGTCGCTCCAGTGATGCTTGTAATCAGACACTCTCGACAGTCCGGTGTACACAGAGGCGGCAATCAGGAAAAACTGGATGGTCGGTCTCAGCAGCCGCGCCCAGTCGGCCTGGAGCCGAGCCTGCAGGTAGAGCTGAGAAACACAAGGCTGGACGTTCAAGAAGGGAAAGGATGTGAAAAAAACCCTGCTGGTCTCAGAATTTTACTGATAGAAGGAATTTGTTCAATGCAGGCTGTTTATCTGCAATTGATCGATGATCTAAGCTGATAAATGTCTCTATACCTCTGTTTGCCTCAGGAACAGTGTCCAGTGAGTTCATTTGTTTATGTTTAAAACAGGGTGTGGCCCCAAGGACAGACAACCTCCATGGCTTTGCAAAGATTTATGTTTTGTCTCAAATGTCATTTAAATGGCAGCGCTTTTCCATACTTCAGACTTCCTCTTTGCCGGAGGGTGTGTGTGAGCGCTTTATCGGTGCCAAGACTTTGTCCCTGTGTCTATTTATATCTGCTGCTGTTGAATGAGTCAGCAGACCGCAAAGTCCATCGGAGCCGGGCAGTAAAATCTCCTCAGAACAACACACAGAAGTGCTGCTGATAACGGGCGCGAGGTTGAATGTGCACAGATGTAATCTTAAAGAACTGTAAGTAATCATTTGGAACATAATGATGTCTGCTTCGTGACGCCATGAAACAACAGCCAGCAGACACTCAGCTTATCATAAACAGCCTTGGTGCAGCATTTGCATAATTTTGTCTAAACTACCAGGATGGTGGCTACAGTTATGGACTCGTCAGCGTAGCGGAGAGGTGAAAAGTTGTGCCTTTGTGTCCATTAGACCATCTGAAGGAGAGTTTCCTTGTTTTCAACGACTGACGGGCGTAGCTGTACATTAACAGGTGGAAGATGTAGAAAGTGGAGCTTTGCTGGGAAATAAAGGGAAAGTTCCTGCACTCTGTGGGGGACAAAACTCCAAGTAACATCTAATCCCTTTTATTTCTGCTTCCAGAGCAGGTTTGCTTAAGTAACTTCAGTTTTTATTGTTTAAAAATACTAAACATTTTCAAACAATAAAAAGTAAACTAACTAGTTTGGTTGTTTTTTTTTCTCTCCCTACCCTCACCTCCAACCGGGCTGATGATGGCTCCTCTCTAAGCCTGAGCCTAGTTTTGCTGGAGTTTTCTTCCTGCTTGCTCACTGGGAGTCATCTGACTGTTGGGGCTTCTCCGGATTACTGTAGGGTCTTTATCTTACGATATAAATTGCACTGAAGTTGTAATTTAGCGCTATAAAAAACTTTGAATTTAATTAAGATTATAATTAGTTAAAGTTATAATTTTAATTATAGATTTTCAACTATAAGAAAATCCCCCCAACTCACCCCGATTGGATTGGATAAGCATATAAGAATGGATGGATAGTTCAAACAGATACTAAAACTTTCTCTTTGTTTTAATTCATTTTAGTTACTTTTTCAAGGAGTCTGACATCGAAGTTTAGTTTTCAGTCAACTATAATAACCTTGCTTCCTCAGCCGCCACACTGGTCAAGTCAAACATTGATGGATGGGATTACAGATCAACATGCAGCTGGCTGAGATACTTACAGCGAGGAAGAGCATGCAGTACATGGAAAAAGATGAGTGGCCGGAGTAGAACGAGAGCCTGCAACAGAGAGACAAAAGCATAGTTCAACACCCGAGTAAGGACATGTTTTTATTAACACAGCGGTCTGAGCTGACTGGAGAGTCCCTGGCTTTAGTTAGCTCTCGTTTGAAACACCACATCAGCAGCCATGTGCACACACTGTGGATACTGTGGCACAATTTTCCCAGTCAGGAGGCTTTTACTGATCAGATTTAGGGCCTGGACTGCAGCGCAGAACAACCTGCTGCTTGTTGAAAATCAGTGGATTATGTGGAGGAATTTGGAGAAAAAAAAAAATCAGCTACTGCGTTAAGGATCTCTATAAACCAATACTTGCAATACTCTGCTTTAAATTCAACATCTTATTTCCCCTAACCCTAGAGAGCCAGGTTAGCATGAGCCCCAGGAGCTGTAATAAACGAGAAATATACTAGGTTGTAATAAAAACCCAGAATTATCCTTTGACCTAAAAGCACACTTTAGGCCCACAGAGCTGCTAACATGACACTTATTTTCTTTAAAAGCTCTACAGGAAATCCCTCAAAATGGCAAAGCTGAAATCCTTCATTATCATTAACAATTAAGCTAATCTATAAATCAACTCCCCAGCAGTGACTGTTGGTTACACCCAGCAGAGTAAACAATAACAATGCCGACCTCCATAAATCCCCAACAGTGGCATCAGATTAGGACTGTGGCACCCTGTGTGGGATCACAGGATGAAAAATTCATGATTGCCACCTTACAAATCAATATTTGTGATTTCACATCCATGGAAACGAACTCAATCCTCGACAGTGAGCTGTGTCTTTGCTGGGCAGTAAACCTTAGACACAGAGGGGTCATATTACTGTAAGATGATGCTGGGCAGTCTATCTCAGCCCCCTCTCTCCTCTCCTGTTGCAGTTATTAGATGCATTAGAGTCCAGCAGATGCCAACAAAGACAGGGAGCAGCTTTTTATTTTAAAAAAAAAGCAGACTGCTGAGTAATAATGGTGCTCCAGGAAGCAATGATTGTGCACCACGCCCTGATAAACGTACAGCAGATACCCCAGAGCGGTAAAGGGTAGGTGGGCCCTTTACGCTCAAGGGCCGCAGCTCGAGCAAAACGTTTCCCCGTCTCGCTTTAAACAGATAAAGAAGGGGAGAATTAAATGTAACGTAAAACCTCCTCACAGCCCATAATAAACACGTAACACTCTGTATTCCTCTGTGGCTGGGGCCTCCGTCAGACTGAGAAGAGGAAATCCTCTCCTCCCAATACTCTTCCTCCTGCTCTGAGCCGATAAGAGACAGAGACCTTAAATCAAAATACGCTTTACATTCCTGTGATATTACTCAAAGTGGCTCGCGCTGCAGCTGCGCACATTACAGATGTCACCCATTTACCACATCTAAACACTTCCCAGCTGTTTTTTTTTTTTAAATGATCTTTATCTATGCCAGAAGATCATTAATGATGACTGTACTATGAAGGAGAGCAACATAAACAAGGTTTGTTTCCCTTCCCTAACGACCAAAATCAAATCAAGCGGTCATGTGGTTCTCAACTGAATTAACTGACCCGGCTTTTCTGGGTCTCGGTATGAGCGGTGGTGCTAACGCCGCCGGTGACGGTAAACAATGGACAATGGATGGGAGTAAAGCTGGATATTTCTTACAAGAACATTATAAAGAACAAATAAGACTTCAGAAGTATAATCCTGCTGCAGCCTCAGCCAGGAAGGACAAATACATTTAGGCTGTGTGAATCTAAAAATTAATTACTGTGTGCTTATAGATCATTAGTTATTATTAATCTCTGGCTCTCTTCCACAGCGTGTCTTTATGTCCTGTCTGCCTCCCATCAACCCCAGCAGATTGCAGCAGTTTGGTTCAGCCTGGTTCTGGGGAAGGTTTGGTGTTTAAGTTACTACGGTGATGTCCTCTGATGGGGAGTGAACTGTCCCGACGCTGAAAACTAAGAAACCTGAGGTTTGCTAACAGCAAATCCAGCTTCACGGTACAGCACTTTGCTTTGTTCTAACTGTGCAAAAGTAATCAAACACTTAATACCTGAGACTTAAAGTATGTCAGAAAAAACGCAGAATTGTGTACTTACAAATACAGCTCATGGTTGTGGCTGCTGAACCACTATCTACAGCAGGATATGGTGCTGAGTAAGTGCTGAGAATCTACCTTATTTATAATATCAAAAGGGGCCATCTCAACTCAGTCTTACATGTATAACTGGAACCTACATATTTCTCCCATTGGCGTGACGTTGCTAGGTTTGATGTGCTTGTTCTCATTTACGCTTCAGTAATAGATGCAAGTGATGCTGAGCACAAGCTGAAAGTCGGAAGCACAACTTTAAAATGGTTATTCAGAGGTTGTTCAGTGACGTGCTTCACCTCTGCCCTTTGTGCTTACGCTGTGAACATGTTACAAAACAATGGCCTGAGGATTTTTCCAATAATCAGCTCAACAAGAAGAAAACCCCAAAACAAACAAAGCTGGTGTGCATAAAGTTGGAAAAGAGGTGTTCGTTTCAACATCTAAAATCAAAAAATCATTCTTATTTGAACTCGGGCTGCAACCGCTAGTTTCAAATCTAAACATCAGAATAAAAAGATGAATCACAGTCCATGGTGATCTGTTTAAATGGTTTGCTTTTTTCCAATAAAAGGCCAGCTGGAGATTATACAACATAAAGCACTGAATCATCACACTTGAGAAGCTAGCCTAGACATCATTTTTACTCAAACTGACAATCCTGCTTCGAGCTCTGCTTTCCTGGTGCTGGGTCATACATACCGGGCCTCGTTGACCTGCTTCGCGTCTCCAGTGCAGGTGAAGTTTTCGATGTAAGTCCCTGCCGAGCAGTTGATCAGTTTCCAGTCGGGTCTGCACAAATCCAGGAAGTGTGGCCTAAGCCGGCCGATCGAATACTTGGCGATGTCCGTCAGAGACTGGCTCATGGCGGCACCGAAAACGAAGGTGCCGATGGCTTTGTAAATGCAGGCAACGTAGCTGCCGAAAGACGACTTGGACTTGATGCGGTTTAGATGAACTAAAAGACACTCGCCAACAATCATCTGCAACGAGGGGCGGGAGGACACAGAGTTACATCTTTATACAGAATGACAGGGTGACACATTTAAAAAGAAGATGCAGATAAATGAACGTCAGAGGCAAAATCCCAGGATCACTGTTTTGATTTTGTTTTTGAAGACTCATCTATGATGAGTCCTTTGAACAAGCACTTGGTGACAGTGGGAAGGAAAAACTCCCTTTTAACAGGAAGAAACCTCCAACAGAACCAGACACAGAGCGGAGCCAACTTTAAATATGTGCTATTTCTTCATTTCCAGTTTTTCTGCTAAGATTATGACATTAAATAATGAAAAAAAATGTCTGACAAATTTGGGTTTTTTTTGATCTTCTGATCTAATCATTTACAACGAAGAAAATCCTTCTCATAATGCTGCTTTCGAAATACATAAATGCTCATTTGACGGTAATCAGAAGGGCTCTGCAAGAGCTGCTGAGGTCACAGGAGGATGTCCACTTAACACAGTAAGCCTCTCTCTTTCAGTTCATCTGAAACTTTAAATAAAACCTGAGGCTTATGAGCACGTTATCATGTTTCTGCAACGCTATGAACAGGCAACAGGCCTCGAAGGCTTAAACAAACACACTGCTTCTTCATTATTACTTTACAGCAGAAGAGCTGCTTTATCTCGACTTACAGTTAAAAATAGTGTAGGTTTAACAACTCTAAATAGCCGTGTCATTACTTAAAACGATAAAACCTGACCTCCGTCACCACTAGAAGGTTTGCGTAGACCTTCACATCTGTAGGTTACACATCCGCTCAATTTTAAAGCCTGAGGCGGAAGATTAGGTCAGGTAAAATAAACAAACCTCTACCTCTTTTCTGTTTCCTCATTAAATGTAGAACATTCAAAAAATGATTTGAACAAATCAAACTGCTAGCACATTAGTAGAGTGGGGTTAAAGGGTTTTTTAAAAAGCAAAACAAATCATGCATTGAGGATTAGAACCATGCAGTTCCATTAAGCAGGGTCACGAGTATAAGAAGAAAAAAGAAGTGGATGAAAGCAGTCAGCAAAACTCCAAACTGAAGAAGAGTAAAAAATAAAAGATGTACAGAAGTGAACAGAAAACAAAAACTGGTGCACTTACAGTGAGTACCGTGACGGGAATCATGACACCTCCTAACAACTGATAGGAAATGGTGTCGTCTTTATAGGGGTACTTGATTGAATCATCGTTACAGAAAAAGCCCCGGTGGAAAGGACTGTGTCGCAGAGTGAGAATTGCAAATGGGAGTCCAGCTACCAGAGAAGCAATGAGACAGAGAAACAAATACAGGTTACAAGATGTCAGCGGGACAGAGATCTCTCCACCACGCAAAGCAGGAGCCAGCAGCCACGTGAGAGGGCGTCGAGGAAAAACCCACGCTCCTCTGAAGTCCGGCTTTCAGGAACATCATTAATAGTTAAAGTGTTAGAGCGACAGATGGTGAAACTGTGGTTAGTGTTTCTGTTAATGAAGAAAAGTCTATCCTAAAAAAGATTAGAGCTGAGCAGGTGCATCTCCTGCGCTGGGAACAGCGGCGATCGTGTTTCTAGGCTGATTCGGTCTCTTTGTTATCAACACACTTTCCTCTTTCCTAAAAAGAAAAAAAACTTCCTCAGTGGTCCTGTTCCATATCCCCACGTATCCTCCCAAACCTCACATTGTTAGACAGGGAACAATGGAGTCAATCGTAATAACGCTGAACAGCAGTTATTAGACATTGAGGGGGAAAAAAGAGAGGGATGAATCACTGATGCTACAAAAGCAGCAGAAAGCAGACACTCTTCCTGCTCTTCCCGTCATTCTCCAGAAACAACCGCTCTGTTCCAGAAGAGCATTCCAGCTATTTTAAGGAACAGAGGACGCAGCCTGAATGTCTGTTGCACAGATTAATAACAGAGACATAAAGTTCTCTCTGATGTTTACATAAAACCAACCCCCCACACCCCTCCAAAAGGCCTGGCCTCAGTCATTATCCACAATTAAATATCTGGAAATAGTCGATTGTGTGCTTTGCTGGACTAAATGTGATTTAGAGCTCTTTGACTGCGTCAGGAAACCAAACAAGTGAATTACAGGGTTTTTTTCCCCTACAAATCCATCTGTAGTGCTTGACAATGACAATAAAATAAACTATTATTAATTGTTCTGCAGTAGTTGTAAAGTGGACATCCTCCTTCACCTTTAACTCTTTTTAATACACCTCCAGTAAAAGCAGCCGACACATATTCAGAGTCTCAGTAACAATCAGCAGTGTCACTGCTGTCCTCCATTCGACTCTGGGTGTTTATTCTTTGATGTGCTGTTCTCTCAGTCCCCACAGACCGCCTCACAGTGGATATTTTGACTTGTCAAAGCTGATAACAACAGTAAAGACTGCTTTCCATGCAAGTGGGGCACTAAAACCGCCGCTTATGCGTCACACCACAGGAACCGGCTCAGAACGGAACACGTGCTTGTTGGCAAGTCAATATACAGTGGGGCAAAAAAGTATTTAGTCAGCCACCGATTGTGCAAGTTCCCCCACTTAAAATGATGACAGAGGTCAGTAATTTGCACC